GATGCTGGGTGCAAAATATCAAGGCCACATGTGAAGGGCCAGTTAGACTGATTTATTGCTATTCATGCCTATGCACAGGAATATTCTCAACTAACAATACCTGCTTGGAGTTAGATAAGGGTCAACAGAATTCAAGGAAGGTTGGACTTAATTCGCTTATGGCTATGTAGGGATTCTTGGCTGATCCCTCTTTTACCTCTACCCCCAATTTCTGTCAGTCCTTCTACATTTCAGTTATGACAATAACTGTGACTGCCTGAATTGTCCTTGATAAGGAAGATGGTGAGAGATAGTTGCATTTGATAACCACCAGAATTAGGACTCATATATACAAGGCTGGTCTTGTATTTAGGATTCCTGAAAAGGTGTCTGTACTACATTGTTTTCTGTATTACCCTCAGTTTTTGCCTTCAGGATATACTATTGATATTTTCAACTCCCTGACAGGGACGGTTGATACAAAATTAGCATGATAAGATTGTTTCTGCTCATAGAGGATAACATACATAAATGTATGTTCTCTTTAAAGATAAGGATTTGTTTAAAATATATATTACTGAAGAAGCTGTAAACCAAACTGTCATTCTTAATTTTCAGAAGCATGACTTCAGATAGTGACAGATTTATTTTATTTGTATTTTTTCTTTTAAGTAAGGCAAATTTTTAAAAAGCCATCTTGAAACTCTGCATGGGAAAGTCATTGGTGCTTTAGAGTTTTAAATTGTTTTTTTTTTAAACTAGATCTCACATTGATATAAAACGCCAGTGTTATAAGGCTTACTTGTAGCTATGTACTTCTAAGTATCTGTCCATTCTTACACCATAAATGCTTAAGGTTGATATAGAGCTATGGGGTTGTGTGTCCTGTGTCTTTTAATTAGCATGACTTTTATATAGACATGACAACATATTTGTTCATTCATTCAATATAAACACGATTGTTCCTTTAGAACAGGGGTGTCAAATTCAAGGGCCAGATTCAGGCTGGGGGTGCTTAGATCTGGCCCGTGGGGCCGGCCTGGAAACAGCTCAATTTTTGCAGGCAGAGGGCTATCAAAACAAACTAAAAACAAAACAAAAGGAGAAAAGTTTCCCCTTTTGTATTTGAGCATGCAAAAAGGGACAGGAAAGGAGAAAAAGAAAGAGGAAAGACAAAGAAAAAGAAGGAAAGATAGAAAGAGAGCAAAGAAGGAAAAATAAGGAAAGAGGGGAAGGCAGAAGAAAGGAGAATGAAGAGGGAAAAGGAAGGAAGGAAGATTATAATCAGTGAGGGAAGGTCTCAGGGATGTCCTGCCTTAGCACCTGGGCACCATAGGTGCCCCCGACATGAGTGATGTCGAGCCGGCCATTGCCACCATTGCCCACCCCTGGCCCTCCAAGGTCAAACACAAACCAGATGCAGCCCTCAATGAAATAGAGTTTGACATCCCTGGTCTAGAACGTACTATAAACACATTACATAGAATGGCTGAAACAATGATTGGGCCAAAGTGATCCAGCGAACTTCCATATTTAAGAATGAATCTTAATTTGGGTGTCATTCTCAATCTGATCTTTTGCAAGGACATGAAAAAGATTCTTCCATAGCTAGCAAACGGGAACTTTAATTTTTGGTATAAAACGTATTCTTTCATTGCATTTCACTCTTCCTGACCTTTGGCAGCTAACTGTCGGCCTATTCACTTGAACTCTTGTAGGTTAAAGAAAACTATATCTCATATGAATTTGATTTTTCCAAAGTCTATTGGAATCCTCGCCTCTCTACCGAACATTTGCGGATTGTCAACCTTTTAAAGCCAGGAGATCTTCTCTTTGATGTCTTTGCAGGGGTGGGGCCTTTTGCAATCCCTGCAGCAAAGAAGAACTGCATGGTGTTTGCAAACGACCTCAACCCTGAATCATGCAAGTGGCTCCAGCACAACTGTAAATTAAATAAAGTGGACAAAAAAGTCAAAGTCTTCAACCTAGATGGCAGGAATTTCTTGAAAGGGCCAGTGAAAGAAGAACTGAACAAGCATCTCTCTTTGAAGGAGTGGAAGAATTCTGTACACATCATCATGAACTTGCCAGCCATGGCAATTGAGTTCCTGGATGTCTTTAGCCATCTTTTGAATGGAGAGCCAGTCAGTGCTGAACTTCCAACAGTGCACTGCCACTGTTTTTCCAAACATGATAACCCTATGCAAGACATTCAAGAAAGAGTTGAAGCTTTACTGGGAACTTCCTTACATGGTCTTTGTTCTTTTAAATGGGTGAGAAATGTGGCACCCAATAAAGAAATGATGTGCATTAGCTTTCAACTTCCAGCTGAGGTGTTATACAAGCCGCTGACAGGTAAATTCAGCAGTGGAAAATATTATGTGGGTAAATGGAAGCTTAGTAAAATTTTGCTACCTGACTCAGGATATTTCTTGGGTTGAGATCTAAAGAGCACTGTGGGTCTCTTGTCTCAAATTGACCTGACATATATACCGCACTAATGTATAATCTAGTTAGTCGGCTTGGTTTTGTGTGATTTGTAAAACCAATTGCTATAAATAGTTAATTTGGTTTATTTCTAAGTGATTGTAAAAGATTCTTGAATGTCAGGATTGGCATTTCAAAAGATACATTGGGGGATAGAGTACCAAAATAATCCAGTTCCTATGTGGCCCTCTCCTTTCTTTTTCAAGCTCGCTTTCTTATAATTCACTTATTTTCTCCGTATCTATTGTAAGGGGTGTTTATTGTATATTGCTAATCTTATGGATTATGAGTTTGAAAGATTTTAATAATGTTCGCCAATTTTGGCATCAGATTTTCTTTTATACCTCTTTTTTTTCAACCATTTCTTACTAATGCTGTTCCACTTCTGGGCAACTCATTGCTGTCTGCCTCAGCTTTCTGCCTCTCATCACCTATGCTGATCTATGACCATACAAAAGATTTGATTTCCCTCTCGTGCATGAAACCAGATTGCTTTGATCATCACCACTATATGTATATGTGGGTTTTGATGCTATTTAGCCAAAACCACACAATAATGCTTAGAGACTGTCTGAGAAGCATAAGCTGCTATTAGGTTTGGGTGGGTGGATGGATATACCTGCCATTCAGATATAATTATCTTAAATTTGTTTGTGCAGATGATCCAGAAGAACCTCCATCTAAACGACTATGCCCAACTGAAAATTACACTGAAGAAAATAATCAAACCATCTAGGAGATATGTGGATCATGACATTAGAATTTTAATTCCATTTTCAAGGTGAGGAAAGTACATTTCATCTGCTCTCTGTGTAACAGCAGTTATCTAATCTGTCTCAGAGTTGGTAATTGCACACTTACGAGCTGATTGTACATTGATTGTGTTTCAGTTCTTTTAAATTCTATTATGTATGATTAGGGTCAATTCTCTTATTTAAAGAACATTAAATTTTGTATTTTTCCATAATTTGTAGTATTTTGTGTTCAAGCTTGTGTCATTATTCATCCACCAATGGGGAAAGTATAAAACTAAATGAACAAGATGAAGTATTTCTCTGCAATCTTGAAGTACCCATACATAGGGCATTGGATGTCATTCCTCCTGTGAAGTCTCTGTCCAGCCGCAGCTCCTGAGAATCTAAGGGGGTTGAAGTAAAAAACAATGAAGTATTTGAAGTATAGTGAAAATTGCAAATGGTGGTCCCATGAGAGTGGGATTCTGCAAGTGTCATAATTGTGAGCCAGTTGCCAAAAACCTGAATCATGATCATATGACCATGGGACACTACAATGGCTGCAACTTTTGAGGACTGTAAAATTCCTTGTTCAGTGCCATTGTAACTTGGAACAGTTGCTGAAAGAATGGTTATTAACCGAGGAGCATCTTTATTCATAATCTGAGTTTTTTACTTCCTTGTTTATAAAAGCAACTGTGTTTATATACACATATCTGATGTTTATATGTTCCTGTTCCAGAGGAAAGGAGAATTCAGGATATGAAATAAAAATATTAGTTTGTAAAACTAGGTGTATGTTACATCTAGAGAGGCCTTCTTGCAGAAAAGTGATTTGGAGTGCATTTTAATGTCTGTCAGCATCCAGTTAAACATATATTTTCCTGGAATCAAAGAATCTAAAAAAAGATGGAGCTTCTCCATGAGTACCACAAAATTCAAAATCATCTTAGAATCTGGATCGTGTATATCCCTATTTATTTTGTCTCTTATAACTATCAAAAATCAAACAGGTAGAACTATCAAAACTATAGAACTATAGAAACTATAGAAACAGGTAGAACTATAACTATCAAAAATCAAACAGGTAGAAAAATGTCAGCCTTCTCCATTCTGAAGAAAAACTGATAGTCATTTGTGTTTTGCACTATTATATTCTAAAAGGCCCATTCTGTTGGAGCTTGTAAAGAAAAACTACACAAAGTTTCAAATAGTTACGATTTCCTTTTGTATGTGTTTTTGGTATTTTTAGAGCCAGATACATAATTGCATATTTACAGAATGACAGTTGTTGCAATCTCCAATGTGGTTCTGATTTCATTGCTCAGAACTCAAGGTATTATGGACGAAAATGTATCTCCGATTCTTGTATCATGCTTCAGGGAAGAAAAATATAATTCATTTGCATTAGATACTGACTTAAGAGAAGAAAAGGCTTTTGGCTTGTAGTAGAATTGCACTATACGGGTTTAATGAAAACAGCATTTCAGTGGTTTTGCAAATAAAAACCTGAAAAGAAGACATAGAAACTACAGAAAATAACAAGAAGGACATCTGGAGTTATTTTTTTTAAATTTTATTAGCCTGTTTCAGAAACCTTAAATACATGAAACGATTGCTCACATCTTCCATTAACATCCCAGGAGAGTCACACAAAGCACCTCCCATTCCTATCCTCAAACCACAGAAAAGAAAAAACATACACGCTACCACTTTTTCTAAATAAAGTTTCTATTTAGTGAATTTTTAATTCTTATGTATAGCTAGCTTCACAATGTCTTTTGTTTTGTTTTGTTTTAAAAAGATAGATGACTGCAGTTTCACCATAGTGCAAACGGCAACAATTTTCACCTGAGTTTTGCTTGCTCGGCTTTGGTGTCTGTTACCCCCCAGTTAGCCAGGATGCCAAAACAGCCCACTGAAGGCTTCTTGAAGGGCTCGATGACAGGCAAGAGAGGAAGTGTAGCCACCAGCAAGATCCTGTGGGGAAGCAGCTCGGACATGGTTTAGATACCTAGAACAAAGAGCAGCATTGTCTAAGCAAAGAAACATTTCATGCTCCACGATGGGAATTGGAAGAAAATCCAACTTCTCTGTGTTCCACTGCTGAACATATTTCTATAGACTGAATCATTCTCAAAAGGCTAGAATTGGAGACAGGAAAGACTGAACTCAATTTAGAATCCTTGTTGGATTAAATTTATTTATTTTAAAACCTGACCTTTATGCTCTGGCGAGCATTCAGGGTGGCTATAATTCACATAAATTGTATGAATTTGGTGTTTCATTTTGTAGCCTAGAGACAGAATTCTCTATACCAAAACAGCCACACCACATGCCTCTAACATTTCCTGAACACCTACACAATAATGTGCAGTACTACAGTTTTGGTTTGTTCATAATTGTTCCTATCTTGAGACCAGAAAAGGCCTAATAACTGAAAACCTGCATTTCTGTTTGTGCGCTCCAAGATACTTCTGAAATGCCAATGAATTCCAAAATTCAGATACTTGCCTGCAAGAAAAGCAAGAGGGAGATGGACTGTCAGCTTCAGTTTTTGGAAATCCCATTTGCTACATGCTGGAAGACCAGCAGCCTCAGTCAACCGAATACAGTAGCAGTGGCAAGGCTAAAGTTATGAACTACCTCTCAGGGTTTCAACTATCCATTATTTCTTTAAAAGTCTCAAAAGACATGTCATGGAAAAATGCTACGTTTCATTGAAGAAAAGCAGAGCAGCAAAGATCAAAAATAGGAACTCTGTATAAAAGCATAGCTTAGTCTACAGGGTGGGAAGCAAGAATTTCCAAACTTCCTTTCCCATAAATCCTCTGGGTATTCGCTCCCTGGATTCGTTCTCCTGCCTTTGGATAGTGGCTCAGTGGTTTTGGCTGCCACAGTTTTATCTTCCAGGAGGTACCTCACTAATTCTATCACAAGGGATCTCACTTGCCTGTAACTTGTGGATCTTTCTTTGACCTCTTAGATATTGTCTAAGCCAGCAGAGGCAAAAGACTTTGTATCTTGTCCCTCTTCAGTGAAAATGGCAAGGCGTGGCGTTGGCACACCACTGCTCTTACAATGCAATTCAGTCAGTCGTCTCTGCCCTTGGCACCATTCAGACCTCAAGAGAGAGCAGCAGAGAGGAAGAACCCAATTAAGCCCTCTGCTATAGTTTGTGCTGTGATGGAAAAATTAAACAGATAAGGAGTTATGTAAGGATGGGGTTTTCTTTTTAATATACATCAGGGTTAAAATATCGGAAAGGGAGTAACAAAAGCAGTGGGAGCTATCCTATAAATAAGATTTGTGGCCCATGAAATCTCTACCCTGTCAAATGCTTGTCTCTATGAGCATAAAGTACTGCCCTGCCTAAGGAGACTGCTAACTGCGTTCGGTCTTTAAAAACAGTATAGCAAATGAAAACCAGGTTCCATAGTTTCAATGCAAACTACAAGATTAAGCTATTTTGATTCAGCCTATCTTGGTTTAATTTGCTTCTGGAACAGTTTAATCATTTAATCGCAAATGTTTCAAACATAAACCTGGAAGCCATACATAGCCTTTTGTACACTGTCCTGGGAAATTCTGAGCAGCTATTTGCTGGTTGGAACAAACATGGGGCCACCAGTACAACAACCCAAACAGTTAAATGTTTTAATTTATAATAGTGCACAGTTCCCCAAACAGATGCATAATAAAGCAAGGCAGCTTTTACTGACATATCCTAATGATGTTCTCAGTAGTGTATGGATAGAAAATTGCAGTTGGGGAGGGAGAAGGTGTTCTGTGTGTGTCTGTGTGTGTGTAATTGCTTTAAGATGGATGACACCTGCCCACAAATCCCCCCATTTCCAGGGAATTATACACTCATTCTTACGCTATGATTGAGTTCTGATTTTAAGAGCTAAGTATTCTACTGTATATACTTAATATTTTGCCTTCACAATTTGTTTTGCTAAGGAGACGAGATACAGCTAAGTTCCACAGAATAAACATATGCTAATTCAAATTTCCTAATTCAAATCAAGCATCTTAATTTTCATAACACCTGACTATATGGTAAACAGGGTCTGATTAATTTATTAGAGAAATACACAAATAACTTCTGTTCTCACAACTTTTTTCCAGATATCCCAAGAATGTCCTGTCTTGAGATGTAGCTCTCTGGGTAGCCCCTTGATTTAAATCAATGCTAAGTACTTTCTGGACCAACACTTTCACCCTTACCTCCTAGTATGTATTTGTCGATCTGGCACATATGTTGAGATAGTAGATATTCTGATCCACCAGAAGGAAACATTTAATATTAAATTATTAAGGTTGTGAATTTTGGTGTTACATGATTGCTAATACTGCTGTACATATAATAGCAGGGTTTTCCAGGGCTTTAGATTCAGTTCCTGAAAGGTGCTTCAGAAGGTGAAAGGACAATACTGTATCATCTGTCACTCTGTTGTTCTTTATGATAACTGAGTCATACTTGAAACTTTTTCCCCTCCAAATATACTTAAATTGTAACCATTAGTGTGCTGCAAAGCCCATCCTTTCCAATCTGCATTTTACTCTAAAAGACACAAATAAGGCAGTGGTAGGCTGCTGACGGTTCGGACCAGTTCTAACGAACCAGTAGTTCGACCAGATGGCCGGCGTCAACCTTTTCCCGCCCTATCCTGTCCTATATTTCCTTCTTTCTGACTCAGCGGATTCATGAGGCACAGCTGATTTCCATGCCTCAGCTGTTCTACTTACGGAAGCTGCCCTAGAAGGTAAGCAATTGAGCTTCAAACTGCTGTTTTCTTAAAGCTGTGTGCACGCACTCACAAAACCAGTTATTAAACCAGTTGCAGACTACCACTGAAATAAGGTCAGTTCACTAGTAAGTAACAAATTTGGAAAACATCCCAAATCAATAACCAAGACCCAACAGAGAATTAATGAAAATACGAAGGACTTCATCCCAACGAACATATACAAGGAAATAATGTGTAATGGCAAATAACCCTGCATAATTATGCTCTTTTATATATCGGAATGTAGTACTACAAAAGGCAGGTGAAAAACCACTGAAAGTACAGTTGTGTTAAAACATGCACCATGGAGATTTTGCGGGGAGATGTGGTGGACTAGCACATCTCCAAATGAGTGGAGGCAGTAGCAGCAGTGAAGACCAAATAACCCGCAAATAGATTGGTCCTACAGAACCTCTCTGGATAAGAGCAGGAGAGTAGATAATCCATATGTGCTCCAGAAGGCACAACAAAGGTCTCCTGTGGGTTTGAGTGTCCGGAGATGAAGTATCCCATGTTTCCAACCATGGTGCAATCTTTCAAGGACACTGGTTTTGCTAACCTTACTTTGCAATTTCTCTTGGATATTACCAAAAAAAACCCAATATTTTCCATAAAAATATTATTTAAAAACCATTTTGCAGTATGGAAATTGATGCATCTTAAAAATAAATAATTCACATTTGCTCAATAGTCCATATTGGCACTGATTTCCTACTACTTCATGTTATAAACTGAAGGCTGATTTCTTACTTCATTTCAGAATATTTTCAAAGCCTTCAAATCAACATCTCATCATTCAGATAACACTCAATAATTAGGGAATCCAATTTTTCCTATCAGTAACCAGTTCTAGAGTAGCATAAAATGCAAAATGTGGTCTAAAGATCTAGAACTCTGCCAAGAGCGTGATCATTCTTTGAGATTTCTTTTTTGAAGAGCTATGTCCTAAAACCCCACAATGGAAGTTTTGGACACTTTTATATCAAACCCATATCTGAGTTATTTCAGTCTTTCTGGTCATCACATTTCTGAATTAGATTTCTGAGGTTGCTGGCAGATCTCCCTTATCTTTTCATATATGCTACTTTACTGCTGCATCAGTGACTGGGATGGAATAAGGTGACTTATCATTTGAAAGAAACTGGGCACACTTGTTGGCCAATTAAGAACATTGAAATGTGTAGCTAAGTAAATTTTTGAAGACCAATAACCCTTGAAAGAAGGAAGACAGAAAGAAGAAAGAAGGAAGACAGTCTGGTCAGTAAAATACAGCTCTTCTCCCCATAGATACTGCTGATGGTGAGAGCAGAACAAGCCGCCTGGTTTGGAAAACCATATTACAGAAAGAAGATAGCTACGAGTTTTCATCAGAGCAAAAGAGTAAGGCAGACTCCACTTTCAGCTTTGTATAAACAAGCCTTTCAGTGACCTTTTAGCCCAGTAAAAATCCTATGATACTGTGGCCTAGAGGGATTTCATCAATACTGTTTTGTTAAAGACAAGAAGCAGGCCAGTATAGATAGGAGGTTTAAGGTGACAAAAACATCGCTAGGTCTACCATTCTGTTATTTTAGCAAACAATAATTAAACTTATATAAAAATACCAATTATGTCCTTTAGTTCAAATATTGATCAGATACCTCTGTTTCCACAAGTCACTGTGGGATAAAGCAAAAGAAGAAAAACTAGTGCTTCTGTAGTATATAGAGAATTTGCTATGGCATGAGTACCAACTAACCTTTTCTTTCTTTTTTAACTCACAGAAAAGCATAGAAATATTCAGGTTATCACCAGCAAAAATCAGGTTTAAAAAAAGAGTTTCCAACTCAACACATTTGACTATACAAATTATGATCTTATCCATTCTAAAATTATTTGATTATTAGCAGACACTTTTTGGTTAGAATAAAATTGGTCACTATAAATAGGAAATAGCGTGAACTTTCTTTCATAAGTCATCTTAATGGAATTATTGCGCCTTAAATCTCCCTCTGAAGCCTACACAAGTGCATAAACAAGGCTGGCCATTATCTCAAACCCAAAATGAAAAAGTGCACCCCCAATCAAAAACATTTGCTTTATAAGGTCATCAATTTAAACTTAAACTCTATAGTACTTTAATCAATTCTCAGCTGTTTTGCCGAATTCCAGACAGGAAGGGAAACAAAGGTCTCAAGGTAATGATCAAATGAGTCTTTATTAGTCCACACAATGCTATGGA